TCTCTCTCTCATGGTCCCAAAACTTTGGATTGCTGGTTATGCCAGTGAAAGCTCGATTCCTCATATAACTTCTATCTTTTCCAAGAAATTACTAACACAAGTAAAAATTTCTTTAAGTTTTTATGGAATCTCTCTCCCCATATATTTTTATGGAGTCCCTCTCTCTCTCTCTCAATTTTTTTAATGGAGTCTCTCTCTCTCTCCTTGTGTTTGTGCTCCATTATAGTAGTAGTGAGGTGGGTGGTCGAGATTTCATGTTAGTATTGAATTTTGGGACCTATTGTTTGGGGAATGACAACACAAAAATGACATCGTTGAATTGTTTGATTCATCTTTTTAGGGTTCCTCTTTTTGGATCTCTCTTTTTGGGTACTCCTGCTTTTATGGTGAGGCAAGAATGAGTAGTAGGAAGACACAAATATTAGATCCAATTGGGGCACTCTGCACATTTTCCCAACCACCAGTACTCCTATCATATCTTGAGTTTGATCCTTTTCATGTTTTTAAATGGGCACTCTTGGCACATACTAGATGTTCTCTTGTAAGCACTACAAAAGCAATAGCATTAAGCGATATATTTAAGTAATTGCATTTTCTTGAAAATAATGCCCATCTCAATTTAATGGCCAAAACACTCATTGGTTGGCTAGATGTGACTGAAATCTGCAAATTTTCAATGAAAATTATATATATTAATAGGCCAGTATATGTGGTTCTATTTAGGTTTTCAAGGTTCACGAGTACATACCAAATTGGGTCCAAAGGACCGTTTTCCTTGGAAAAAAGAGACGTGCTATTAATTCTCTTTTTGATGGGGATATTTTGAATTTGAGGCTGTGGGTTATTTCCATGCAATTCAAGGATAATTCATTCATTACATAAATGTGAATATTATCTCCATTGTTTACATAATTTGTAAGGGCCAGCAATATTGGATTTAGCCAAAGGTCCTAACCTGATCTTCCAAAGAAAAATAAAATCTTCATTTATAAACAAAAAGTTTATATAAGGTTGTCACCTTAAATTCAAGAATTTAAGGTGAACTTCAAAACTCCAATGGAAAACACTATTTTGACATTGGAAAAACATCTAATTGATTATCTCGACATCGAGATGTATGCATATGAAAAAAAAAAAAGACTTCAAATCTCAAAAATAGCACATTATTTGGACCATCCATTTTCAAGATCGTCACGCCTTTATCAATCTGCTTTGTTTGAACCATTTTTGGAGTTTGAAATTTTATATTTAGATATAAAAATATATTCTCGAGCTATCTAAAAAGATTTCCACACACCAAAATTACACAAAATTTGAAGGTGCACTATATTTTTAATTTTTAAAAGATTATACCCTAATGCAAACCTCACCCATACTTAAGCGAGAGAGAGAGAGGAGAGACTATAATGGAGACATGTAGGTGCATCGTACAACATGTGTGACCCACTAACAAACATTAGGTGGGCAAAGTTTCAATCTCAAATCGATGGAATAGGTGGCTCAGGTTCCACATGGCACGTTTGCCTCCGAAAAATTCAAATGGTTCATTTTCTCTTGATGTCTCTCTCCCCATATATATATATATATATATATATATAAAAGAGAGAGAGAGAATAACAATATATTTGATAAAGTAGTTAGATAACATGAATCTTGACATACATGCAAGTTGGCCTTATAAATGAATGTGTAAAAGAAGTTTTTGATGGAATAAACTAGAAAGATCTTCCCCTATTTTGTTTTTCTTGGTGGAATTATTGTCCTTGGAAGCACTTGAGTGGTTGTCATATGCATGAGATTGGGTAAACCTAGTTATATAAATAGCCAAGTTGACCCTATTTAAATCTTGATAACTTAATATAGATTATCATATAGAATATAAATATGGGGCCATCTTTGTGTATTTTGAATGCATAGTTTGGTTAAACACCACTTTGGCATTATCATAAGAAGGGAATCTTCTTTCTTAGAGAACAAGTGATTATGCTACTAAAGAAACCATCTTGAATTGTTTGACCCCATTGTGCTTATTATTTTATTTGGGATGTGGAACTTACATTGAAAGCTAGGTTTGCTCACTTAATTAACAAAGGTGAGGCTAGGTTGTCACTTTCTCAAGATAAGGGGTCCCTTAGATATTTGAGAAAAATACTAAGGAGCTTTATGTAATATCTCTCTCTCTCAATGTTAAGGAGCTTTATGTAATCTCTCTCTCTATGTAATCTGTCTCTGTCTCTCTCTCTCTCAATGTTAAGGAGCTTTATGTAATCTCTCTCTCTCAATGTTAAGGAGCTCTATGTAATCTCTCTCTCTCTAGAGTGAAAAAGAGGGTAGGTTGAAGCTTGAGAAAACATCCTTTATTGTGTGAGTTGATTCACTTCTCAATTTGGTGAAGCCGCGTTACTGATAGCGATACATGCACAGATGTAGGAAATGCAGGTAGTGAAATATCTAAGTCGAGAAAGAGTTATGGAGGGAGTGGAAAAGAGGATGACAAAAAAGCAAAAGGTGAAGTGAGAGAAAGAACAAGACAAGGAACTCAAAGTGGGAAAGAAGATTTTTTTTTAAATTATTTTGTGGAGTCATCAGAGATATTGGAAGAGATCGGTAGTGAGGGTGGCAAGGGGCTGGGCCAACCCTAGCCCTTGTCATAGCTGGGCAGGGCTGAGCAAAAAAACAAATAAAAAATTTAAAATTCAAAATAATTAAAAATAAGGCCATGCCAGTACTATCCGTAGCCCGGTCTTTGGGCTACAGTTTGTAGCTTAGGCCCTACCTTTTTTAAGGCTGGTGGCACTTATTATAGCCTAGAGGGGAGAGAGTGAGGGGAGGCAATTAGCCTATAGAGTGAGAACGAGAGAGAGGAAATATGAGGAGGGATGAGGACAGTATGGTTTCGAATGATTTGCAATTGTAAACATTAAACACAATTATTAACCCAAGACTGATATGGATTATAAGAAAAAAAAAACTAAATCTCTAAAATGCTTCGATTTTCTCTCTCTCTCTCTCTAATTCCTCATACAAAAAGGCTTGCCAATTCATTTACCAATTATCCTACACCAACATGGATTTTTAACAAATAAATTTTACTAGTAGGTCTCTCTCTCTCTTGTGTCCAACTCCCGTACACTAATTGAGGTAAACAATGACCCATTGAGCTGTCCATATGTAGACCTGTCCCCTCTCATTAGGTGGGCTGATCTGATAAATCTCTATAGCCAAATATACTCTCTCTCGTCCCTAACAGATTCCGTTGAGTTGTCCATGTTCTAGGCCTGTGATCATCATTGCAGGCCTTGGTGACATGAGATGAGACTTTAAGGGCAATTTATACCACACCAAAACTTTAGAGAGAGAAAAAATCCATTCCCAGGATTCCCTTGCTCTTCACAGTAGTATTATCCTGATGTGTATCATTTGCTTTATTGAGATAAGGTTTCGAAACCATATAATATTATTTATAATGGCGGACAAATCACATCCGAGGTTGATTATCATAAATGAGTTGATTAGAAATAATGGGGTCTTATTCACATTGCTGACTTCAACCACTTAACTTGTTATTTCAATTTTTCTATTAATCTTTTGAAGTTGCAGATGATCCTGCCCAGATATGGACTTGCTTAGGCCCTACTAAAGCTTATAGATGAGATGGGGTTCATCATTTTAGCCATTAGTCATTAGTTATGAGATGGCACCTTTTAGTTTTTAAAAATTACTCTCTCTCTCTCTCTCTCTCTCTCTCTCTCTAGCTTTAAATTTAATTATGGACATGGTGGACCGATCAATACTGAACCGACAGGTCAAGCATCTACAAGATAATGAATGAGGGAAAATATAAAAGGGGTCTTTGTCAAAATAAAGAAAATATAAAAGGGGGATTTGCAGTTCCAATGTATAGGGGGAAGAAAGTTGAATGGGATCCTGCATGGGATCGCATGGTAAACTTCTTTAAGCTATTGTAGGGTACACTTCCAAACCCATTTGACTTACAAAATGATACTTTAATCATACTTAGTGGCGCAAAATTAGGGATGCATTAAGAGGGAGGGGGGGGGGAAGATATTATTTTGTACTGAACATTGATTTAAAACCTGAATCGGGTACCACTTGTTGGAGCAATCCGGATTACCAGTACAGGTTGGATTGGACACCGATTCTTCAATGGTAATCAGCCAAAAAAAAATCAATTAGTATTTTAAAAATTGAGAAATTAAAAAAAAAATAAAACGTATGGACAATTTGGCAAATATTGGTTGCCCTCTTTTTTGACAAAATCGGGTGAATCTATCAAAATCATTCCTATTCTTGTGTCCGACTAAAAATCGAAGACAAAATCGGATGAATCTATCAAAATTGGACCTATTGTCGTGGCCCACTAGAAATTGAAAATCAAATCAGTGTTTATTAAATCATTGCCACAAAATATTAAGAGAGAGGGCCGAGGGGGGGGCTCTGGGTAGAAGTGGTCTGAAGGGTGGGTGCCAGAAGTCTAGAATTCCAAACTCACCATGATCCTAGGTATTATATATCGCTTACCCAGGAACACTAGGATACAGTGTGAAAAAGAAAAGTTTTAAGAGAGATAATCGTATAAAGTGAGTGGAAAGAAGATCATGTGATTAGGACAACTTTCTTTAACCAATGCATGAGTCCTCCTAGCCCATAAAGTCCATCCACTACAAAATCTTCTCTCTAGAAAAAGCAGTGGTCCATAAAGCCTCAAATTCATTGTACCAGCAATAAAGGTTGTACACATAATTGCTTATCTTGTCTCATATTGTATGGCTCCAAAAGGGCCAAGCTTATAGGCCAAAGTGAAGGCAGTCAAAGCGCTAGTACCATTTGAAGATAAGATATTTTCATGGGTTGGAAGGTGAGGGTCCCATATATATGTCCTAAGTAGACGCCCACCTTAAACGTATCTGAAGAGTGGATTTGAGAAACAGATGGAATCTGCAAAGATGTTGAGCAGATAAACACCCAACATGTGAGCGGTTGGACATTAGCCATTTCAATTTTGAAAGGTCTCCCCTTGGGGATTCAAGCTTGTCGCACCCACATGCATGAGAGAGAGCCCACATGTATGTATGTGAGAGAGTGTGTATTGAGAAACTCTAGCCTTTTAAGTGACATGTATTTTTTGGTTCCAATAAGCGATAAGATTAGAGAAAATAGACTCAAATGGACTGATCGTGTTTTTTTATTCCAATAAGCGACAAGATGAGAGAAAATAGACTCAAATAGACGGATCGTGTGCAACACCGACCCATAACAACACTTATTAGGAGTTGTGAATTAATTCAAGTAGAAAGCTAAAAAAAGACAAAAGGTAAATCCATAAAGACATAGTTGGAAGTAGTGAAAAAATATGTGAAGACTTGTGGCCTCACTGAAGGTATAATCCTTGATAGAGCAAAATGACGGATCAAAATTCCTATAACCAATCCAAATAATTGAAAAAAAGCTCTGATGATGATGGTGATGATGTAAGACGTATTTTTTCATGTAAGAGAAAAAAATTTCATGTGTATGAGGGATTTTGAACTCTTATAGAAGACATGTGTGTGTGCGTATCAGAGAGAGAGAGAGCGGGAGAAAGAATTTATCTATATGAGAATCTTTGAATTGTTATCTATAGCTATAGATAATATGTATAGAAATAAAAATACATAGGTTTCTATTCTAGTCCTATAAAATATATAGTTTTATGCATTAGATACTTCAGTACAATAGAAGATAAAGGAAGATGAGATGATTTTGGGCTCTTATAGTCAGATTTAGTTTTTGGGTCCAAGAAGGGTTGAATTTTCCCTTAACTCAAGTCCGGGTAAAAGATGTAGGCATCAAACATAAAACTTAATCAAAACTCTCCATGAATCTTGAAGAGCAAAATGGCGAACTAGAATTTTTGTAGCAAACTCCAAATGGTTAAAAAAAAGAATGGGAAAAACTTTGCCAGAAATTTTGAGAAAATGCACAGAACCCCACTTGGCTTTGTTTCTTACTCTCATAATAGAGGTGGGCTAACATCCAATAAATGGTGACAAAATTCATGCCAAATCAGTCAGATTGAGCTATGTAGCGAGTATAGTGTGACCTACCAAATTCCAGCAAAAATGTGGGCATGTGCATAAATTCCAATCGCAACTACAAATATAAATATATTTGTTTTGAAGTTGGCCAATAATTTCTACATCCGCACTTTTAGCCTGAGAACGACACTACTCGAGGACAAATAGGCTGCCATCCGTAACTTTGTCATTTTTTCAATAACAACCACCCTCGCTAGAATGAAACCATAAATACGTATCAGCCCAAGTACGTACCCCCACCTAATGGGGTATTTTCATGTTTGCCCAAAAACATGCACCCTCAGTCCTCGCCCATCTCCTCCACAAACATATCTGTCACACAGCCCTTCTAAAAGGAATTTTTGCAATTGCCCCTAACATATACCAAAAACTGTCTCAATGCCAAAAATGGTATTATTGGTTTACAATTTCATTTTGAGGTTAGGTTAACAAAAGTGGGCATTATGTAAATTGTGGAGAGAGAGGCTTCAAATTTTAGAAGAACACCTTCAATGATTAGAACAATTTAATATGCCAAATTAGAGAGAGAGATCAGACAGTTACATGGAGTGGAAATCCCAATCATACGTTGCAAAACAAAAGAGAAAGAGATAGAGAGATCAGACCGCTACATAGAAAGCAAGTTCAAATCATAGGTTGGTAAACAAGAAGCAGCAATCAGTGATGGTCAGCCATCTGTCAGGAATTCACCTAACTACAAGAAGATGTTGGGTTTTCCCCTCACTGTAACATTACAATTTCCTTCAAGAATCCATACAAGAAAGGAAAAAGAGAAGAAAAAATAAAACAAAATTTCAAAAATCAACTAAAATAAAAGATCAAAGAGAACACAAAGAATCGTGTATTTTTACATAAACTTGCTCGGGTTAGCGTATACCATCGCAGCACAGTAACAAAGCTTTGCTCAGTATTGGATCACATGATGCCTAAGCCAGAGATCGTACATAACCATGTGGAATGCATCATATTTGATTGGTGGAGAGTGCCATTCAAAGTGTTTTTGGATCTGTAACAAATAGATTCAGCGTTTTCATTAGTCATTTCAATAAATCAAGCAAATGAACGTTTTCAAGAAACAAAGATTCTATGAATTTCCAAAAGTCAGGAATGATTTTTGGGGTTTGCCTCTTGGCTTAATTATTAAAGTAAAGCACAAAGCTATGGGCCCTAGGCTATAATCCTAGCGTCTTCACCCCAAGAATTAAGTGGACAAATCAAATATACGGAAATAAAGCTTTTCAGTTACGATTAACCCAAACAATGTTTGGAGACTTGGCTTGGGCCAAGGACTCGACCCTTACTCAGGCAAGTCACTCAAACTCGCCCAAGTAGTGAGCACCATAGTGAGACTGAAAACAACAGGTGAAAAAATAAAAATTTTAAGGGAATGAGCTTTTGATCAATGAAAAGTGAAAAAATAAAAGGAAAAATAAAGGGAAGGGGGGCTTTGGCCCACATGCCTAGGAAAGAGAGAGGGCCCTGGGCACGTGGCCAAACACACTAGCCACATTTCTCCCTCTCTATCTCTCTCCCCCCAACCAAAAAAAACACCAAAAAAGGAAAAAAGAAAAAGAGCTCTCTTCGGTTCGATTTCTTCTCCATCATTTGGTGGTATAGTTGAGGCTTGTTGCCTTCGACCGAATGATGTTATCAAGAGCAGCTTGCCACTTGATACAGGCGGTAATTATAAGGGAATTCTCCATTGTGGTACCAACATTATCAAATGCTCGCTTCAGTCTGCATTTACAGATACAAAAACCGGGAAGCTCAGCAATGGTGTGAAACTGGCATCTAGATTTGAAGCAGGAATGCTCAAGGCTCTGCTTATTGATACCTCATTTGAGGTCTCTGTCTCCCCACCTATCTCTCTACACCTATCTCACAGATCTCTCTCTCTCTCTCTCATATCAGCGATAGAGCAAGATGACAAAGGGAGCAGACTTCTGCCCTCTTTTAGAGAGAGAGAGGGAGAAAGAGAGGGAAATAGAGGGAGAGAGAGATAGAGAGGGCGGAGATAGAGGGAGAGAGAGCCTACTTGGCTCCTGGCGAGATGATTAGGGGGTTTTGCCGCCATTTTAGAAAGAGAAAGAGAAGAGAGAGAGAGAGAGAGAGAACAAGATGAGTTACAGCTCACGTCAGCCTTGTCCGAGGGAAAAGTTACTCGACCGAGTCCAACAATCCTCGGTCAGGTTTGTTTGAACCTCAGGTGAGTACATGAAGCGCTCGCCTGAGTACTATACACCCACATGGACATACAGGTTGCTCAGGGGTACTCGACCTCGCCCATAGGATGAGGCCAAGTAACTCAGCCTAGTCTGAGTCGCCTTGGCCGAGTCCCGGTACACTGAACCCAATTTCATTTCTATAAATCAGACAAGATTTCCTAAGCTCATTAAGAAAATCTGATCAAGACATTTGACATTATTAGAAGCATACAAGATAGCATTTGGAAATCATAAGCGTATAAAAATCTCCTTATCAACTACAGCAGTGTCAAAGATTGCTTAGGGCAAGTGCATTAAATAGCTGATCAAAGAGAATCTTTTGACAAATACACTGATTAACACAGACCACCCAACTAATAAAGTACTTCTAGAAGCCCTAAACACCCCCATAGAGAACCTACCTGAATCTCCAGCTAAACACCCATCCCTTCTCCTTCATGTAGTTGCTCTAATCATGCCCAGAAACTAAGAACTCTTAAGTTCAACACACCAAGGCATTTCCCAAACTGTGTCTTTATCAGCTGACCAGTCCAACACCAAACCCTACAAACTCTCCCAACTTTCAAATGATTTCCCATTTCACTAGATGAAAGTTTACTCCAAACTACACTTTGCTAAAGAAACTTAATTTGAATTAATGGAAGGGTGTACTGTAGAAGTAAGGTGCACCCCTAAAGTTTGCCTGGATATGTAGTTCTAGTGTCAGAAACCTTATGATGGCTGGATAATTTATTTTGATCCCTAGTTATCGAATTTAAAATTTTAAAAATACTACAGGTCAAGCAGATTTATAAACACTTGAAAATTGTGAAAATAGACGGCTAAGATAACTTGCTACAAGCTACACTATTTTTAGGACTTGAAATTCTTTTTTTTTTTATAGACACACATCTTGAGTGTATGGCCTCAGGGTATAACCCTTGATTGAGCAGAATGGCAGACCAGGATTTGTGTAGCCAACCCCAATAGTTGGAAAAAGGCTCTAATGATGATGTTCCACACATATCAATGTCGAGATGATTGATAGGAGGGTTCTCCTAAGTCGGGACACTCTCTTTTAGAGAATTTTTTGTGTGCACCTTTACTTCCAATAGCTTAAGGTTCCATCCTTATATAAACTTTTTCATTACTAGAAAGCATATCAGCCACCACAGTGCTTTGGCAAAGTGACATGAAGTAACTCAATGTTTAGTCACCATGCCAGTAATGGATAGATACTGACTTCTCCATGGCCTGCTTCTCTTTTAAATCTCGCAGCAATGGGGTCCTTCACTTCAAAAAAGTTGTCATTTTTTTTAATTTTATGTTCTTTTTTTTTTTTACTTTCATTTTTTGTTTCCCATGATTCCTTTCTTTCCACATCACTTTTCTACTTTTTTTCCTCGACTATAACAGTTCAACTAGTATAGTCCATTTAATCTAACCAATGCATTATCTGTTTTTGACATTTAGTCCAATCATAGATATTGCCTCAAATTTATGAACAGGATCAAGTTGCCATAGGGATGGATGCAAATGTCTAAGATAAATTACAGAAGCTACATTTAGAAAGACAACTAACGTGGTGCTAACGATAACTATCGGGTAAAGTACCTAGACACATTCAACATGGAACGAAATTAATTACTAGGAGACTAACATAAACTCAAGCCCCTATGAAATTTGTGACGACCACAGCAACCTGAAGCAATAAAACATAGGTAACATGGTATCAATTATACAAACGCACTTTGACCACATATACATGACATAAGCATGCAATATATGGACATATAGATGGTTCTTTTACTATGGGATGACTGCAGCGCTTAAGGAGTATCAATATTGAACTAGCAACCTCATCCATGAAGCATCTGAAAGTTTAACGACCTTACGATGCGGAAAAAGCAACAAGTGACTCATACAGACGTCTCAACAAGGGTGACACCAGACTTCAGTCACAAGCCAAAAAGTACGAGGAGAGAACCATAATAGAAATATATCTTCATGCTAAAAAAGTCACCAAATAATAATGGGAAAGAATTCATAGAAAATCAAACATACTTTATTTTTAAATTCCATATTTATTCACGTAATTCTTAATTAGTTTTTTGAAACAGTATATTTTACTTTCTTTAAATATGTGCAACACGAGTGTATGACATAAAAAGCAAGTATGGAAAAGAAAGTCAAACCACAGTTGACACAAAATAATGATAAAAAGCCCACACCAAGGAATAGACAAGTAACCTTCCAATGCAAAATAAATCAAAATAAAAGAAGGTATTGACTTAGTAGTAAAAAGGAAATTGACACATTGGCAAGGCTATTTCTATTAAAACGACCAGAATAAGAGGACCAATGAAACACATGCTTACTTTCCTTGGAAATATATTTAAAGCCTAGCTTACGAATACTGTAAGTTATAAAGACTTTACCTGAACTAAGTTCATATGCAAGGCAATAAACTCTTCATCTGATATCGACTTCAGAATAGACTTAAGTTGATACACGTCACGTTCCTTGAGTATGAGGGAAAATTTTCGCCAATCAAGAATATCATTGAACGGAAGGTCATAGTAATCAGATAAAATTACTGCAAAGAAACCATGCAATCTTGTTAGAAGATGCAGGAAGCACAGAAAGGAAAACATATTCAACTATTTGACCAAAACAGAGAAGAGCAATAGCAATCAATTGGAGTGCTGGAGAAAGAAACATAGAAATTCAACTCATCTACCCAAAAATAGCCAAATTATAACAATAAAGGAGTTGTAAAATGAATGATACAAAAAATTTCATAAGGTCATATCAAGTTCCATGACCAAGAAAATCACATGAACAATGAGATGCAACTATAAAAAGTTTTAATTTCAATAGTATGGTAACTATTAACAATCTTCAGCCCAAACACTTGTAGGGCGATGGAATGAAATGATCCAAGATCTCATAATTCCAATAACATGGTAATTTTTTTGCCACTACAGCCTACCATGACATGAATTGCAAGGTATATTCACAAGAGAGTTTTAGAATAAGCATAAAAATAGACAGAATTAAAGCAAAATCCAGTTATTAGAAACTAGAACTGTCATGTAACAATCATGCTCATGAAATGAACAATATGATCCATTACTCTGAAACATAAAAGATCAACTACACTAATTTGAAGTTATAGAGGAGAAGAACCAAGTGTGTGGCCAACCACTGGCTCACACAAACTCTATTTATCGATATACACTTCTAAATCAAGAATAATCAATGAAACCTACTAAAACAAATCTTGAAGATCTTCAGTCAGATGTTATAAACTCAAGTGCCAAACCTTCCATAGAGCGTTGGAATAATGTATTTCTTTAAAGGAACACATTTGAAGGTTGGCACTAAAAAAATATAAATCCTTTACAATTGTATCTTTCCATAAACATGTGCCCCAGCATCCATGTGTGCACATCAACATATATACCAAATGCATACACAGACAGCCACTTCTGCAAACCTACCATATATTAGACGTCTCTTTTCCATATGCCGTCTAGTGTGGTTTCTGTAGAGATTGCAACAGAATTTTCTGAAGGGGAGTAGTGAGGGGCATAAGTTTCACCTTGTTCATCAGGAAGAGGCATGTCAACCAATGCAATATTGGGATTTGTATTCGAAAGATTCGGGAGGGTAAATTCTTCCCTATTGGCCCAATGGCTCTAGCAAATGAGTGAGGAAAGTGAAGGATTATGGAAGAAGATTGTTGGATGCAAGCATGGTTTACCTGAGTTGGGTTGGATTCAAGGATTCCAAGCAGACATGCTGGAGTTTTGGCTGTTTGGTGGCCAATATGTGGAGTGTAGAATGATTTTCCTAGACATATAAGTAGATTTGTAATTGGCGATGGAGCACTCATATGATTTTGGTCGGACATTTGGTATCGGGGTTACTACAATGGGGCCTAGATAACCAGTATTATTGAGGATTGATACTAATCCCAATGCCCAAGTGATTGATTGTTTTAAAAGGTTAGCATGTAGGGTGATATGGTGCCCAACTTTACATACGAATATTTAAGATGATGAGATTGGTCTAAGAAGGATGAGGATCTTAAACTTTTCCTTAACCCATTCCAAGCCCGGGTAAAGGAGGTTGGTTGTGTTAGGAAGGCAACCAACATAAAACTTTGCCAAAACTTTTCACGAATCTTGTATCTATGTTATCTATTTATGCTACAGTGTTCTCCGTAAGCAAATGACGTACTGGAACCCGGGTACAGTGAGAAATGAGCAAGGATTAGCTAGGACGTTCCCCATAAACGACGTGCTGTAATGCCGCTTAGTTGCGGTAAAAAATAGGCAAGGGTTCCCGTGACATTCTGGACAAGCACATGTAAAGAAGCTAGTCCAAGAGAATAGATTCTTTTAGCCACATGGAATGTAGAAACGTTTACAGGTAAGAGTATGGAGTTAGCCGATACAATGAGACAAAAGAAAGTAAATATAGTTTGTCTACAAGAAACTAAGTCGAAAGGGGAAAAAGCTAAGGAAATAGATGGCTATAAACTTTGGTATGCTGGAAAGGATAATAATAAAAATGGCATAGGCATTAATAGTAGACAATGATTTACAAAAGGAAATTGGTTTGATAGGGTTGCAGCCCTATCAAAATCAATAAAGCCTCACCTTATTTTTTTGGGTAAGTCACTGGGGGAGAAGGCCCCTACCCGATTTTTCATTTAAAGATGTAAAAAGAACAATTAACGTACAACCCTGTAATAGGGCATTTGTGCCAGATCATGTAGTAAAAGAGGAGAAATAAATTTTGGTGGTTACGGCGCCACATAGTAGCACCAAGGTCAACAGATGCTCTCCTAGTGAACGCATCAGCAACCATATTTGCCTCCCAAAAAATATGTGCAATGGACCATTGCTTCATAGAAAGTCTGGTACGACACTTATCTGCAATTGTCTGTAGCCGCCATGGAGCACGACATCGATTCTGAATTACATTCACAAGTAGGGCCGAATCGCTTTCAATTTAAATTGGAAAGCAATTCCTCTTATGAACCAACTAAATGCCTTCTTCAAGGACTAAGAACTCTGCATCGTTATTAGAAGCAAATCCAAAATGCCTTGCAAAAGCCGCAACAAAACCGCCCTCACTATTCATGATGACTCCACCTCCACCTGCTCGACCTGGATTTCTCAAGGAAGCACCATCAATATTAAGCTTGTAATTCTGAACCTCAAGAAATGACCACGCCACCAGGATACAAGTTTTTGGCTTCTGTTGGCATCAATTTATCTGATAAGAGCTTTTTCTTATAAATGGACAGACCACTTTTAAATTTCTGCTAGTGCCTGAACATGTAAGGTAATCTATTTCACAAGGCGTTCTCTCCTGGTGGGCCTTGACTCAAAGACCCTCATGTTGAGCTCTCATAGAAACCAAATAGTAGTAAAAAAATGGAAGACCAGATATTACGGAGACCATGAGATTTAAACCTAAAAAGCAACCACCACCAAACTCAGGGGCAAAAGTACCAAAGACGAATTTTCCACATTTCCAAGCTAATGATCTCCATACTCCATGAGCCAAAGCACATAGATGAAAGAGGTTGCTTTTTAGGTTGCTACAGAAGGGATATAACGAATCCAATTGCATGCCCCGCAACTTCAATAAAAAAGAAGTGGGTAAACGATTATGCAAGGCTAGCCATAAGAACCATTTCGCCCGTGGGTAACATTTAAAAGATCAAAGTGCACAGAAAATAGGTTGTGAAGAACCTTGATGCCTAATAAAACCCCATGCCCCTTTAATAGAGAAAAGACCATCAGCAGAGTGAATCTAGACTAATGAATCCTTCTCGGGCTGTAAAGGAAGAGTGTAATTCTCAACCTCCCTACATATATCTCTCAAAGCATCAGATGCCGGAGGTGGCAAAACCCAAGACTGAAGTGCTCCTCCTATAAAGTCTGAAACCCTTCTCCCAACAGCAGCCAAATCCTCCTAAATGGCATCACCATGCAACTTTGATAATGACTGACTTGCTAACCATGGATCTACCCAAAAATCCACCATCTAACCATTACCAATATTCAACTGTATATTGTCTTTTAAATGGGACAAGCCAAGTAAAATTCCCTTTCAGGCATGAGAACATCATCTTTTTGCTTCAGCCTCCCATATAGAAGAATTCCTAATGTAGTGATGTTTGAAGAACCGGGTCAACAACGAGGATGGGTTTTCTAAAATCTGCCATGCCAACTTCATCATTCTTGCGATATTGAAGTCCTCCATTTCCCATCCCCCAAGGCCTCCTTCAGCTTGAGTGAGACATATTGTCCTCCATTTGACAAGATGAATACCTTTCTTTTCTGCTTCACCAGCCCATAATAAGTTCCTCGATAATCTCTCTATCATATTACATGTTTTCTTCGGGAGAATAAAAGATAATAGCCATAAAACCATTGATGCTCCAAGAACCGACTAAAGCAACTGAAGTCTGCCTACATATGACAAACATAAATGTTGGCTGCCATGAACCAATTTTACCGAACACATTGCCCACTAGACCATGGCATTAGTTGTGCGTCAGATGTCCACGAAATAAAGGTAGGCCCCAATAACGAACTGGTAGAGATCCTTCACGGAGCTGTAAATCCCTCAGGATTCTCCTACGTCCTCTTCGTGGTGCACCAAAGAGGAACACCTTGCTTTTAGAAGAGTTCAAAATCTGACCAATAGCCCTCTCAAACCCATAAATAAGTTCTCGCATAGCCCTAGCAGAGGAGATGGATGCCTCACAAAAAATAAGCACATCATCAACATAAAACAGATAAGAGACCCCATAGTCGCACCCTGAAGGAAAAGCCCTGGGAACCGTGCCTTGTAACATCGCACATTCAAGCTGCCTACTAAAGAAATCCATAACAAATAAGAATAAGTATGGAGATAGAGGATCTCCTTGCGTCAAATCTCTCTTCCCTTGAAAATAACCCTTGGGAGATCCATTCCTCATAATAGAAAAGGAAGTGTCGAAATACACAAGCGAACCCATGAGACAAATAGATCAAGAAAACCCAAAGCATGCATTCTACCCACAATAAAATCCCAAGAAACCCAGTCATAAGCACTACTCAAATCGATTTGCAGACACACTTTAGGCCGAACTGAATTCCTACGGCAAAGAGACATGAGTTCATTTGCCATGAGGATGTTATCAGTAATAAGTCTACCTTTCAAGATGCAGTATGAATGGATCAATAATATCAGCAAGAACCACTCGTAAACGATTAGAGATTGTTTTGCATACAATTTGGTATAGGACATTACACAACCCAATATGTCAGAATCTTTCATCACACTGGGTGCATTAACTTTTTTAATAATTGTTAACAATTTGTATTGATTAAAAAGTTAGATACAAGAGATGGAGGATCAGCCAAGAGTACCTTAAAACCAGTACTCCTAATAAAAAAGAATAGGTCATCTGACCCAATACAAAATGGGGTTATAAGATTATCCCCTTACACGGTAATCTGAAAGTGTACAAGAAAGATATCAAAAAGGAAATCTGAAAGTGTACAAGAAAGATATCAAAAAGGAAAG